ACAAAGCAAAAGTAATTAAAATGGCATGGTATTGGCAGCAAAACAGACACATGGACCAGTGGAGCAGAATTGAGCATCCAGAATTAAACCCATATTTATATGGGCAAATAATTTTCGACAAAGAAGCCTAAAACATACAGTGGGAAAAAGAAAGCTTCTTCTACAAATGGTGCTGGAAAAACTGGAACGCTACCTGCAAAAGAATGAAACTAGATGGTTGTCTATCACTGCACACCAAAATTAACTCAAATGGATTAAAAACCTGAATATAAGACCTGAAATAATAGAATGCATAGAAGAAAACATAGGAACTAAGCTCAGGGATCTTGGACTTAAAGAGGATTTTATGAATTTGACCTCAAAGTCAAGGGAAGTAAAAGCTAAAATAGGTGAATGGGACTACATCAAACTAAAAAGCTTCTGCTCAGCAAAAGAAATCATCAACAACGTAAAGAGAGAATTACCCAAATGGAAAAATATATTTGCAAGCAACACCTCCAATAAGGGCCTAGTATCCAAAATATACAATAAACTCATACAGCTCAATAAAAACAAGAAAATAAATAATCCAATCATAAATTGGGTAGAGGACCTGAACAGACACTTCTCTCTAGAGGACATACAAATGGTCAACAAATATATGAAAAGATGCTCAACATTGCTAGCTATTAGGAACATGCAAATCAAAACTAAAGTGAGATACCATCTCACATCTGTTAGAATAGCTATAATCAACAGGACAGGTAATAACAAATGTTAGAGAGGATGCAGAGAAAAAGGAAGCATTATACACTGCAGCTAAAACTTCAAATTGGTACAGCCACTATGGAAATTATGGCGGTTCCTCAAAAATTAAGAATCAATCTACCATATATGACCCAGCAATCTCTCTACTGGGTATTTACCCCAAAGACTTGAAAACCATATCCAAAAAGATATTTGCACACTGATGTTCATAGCAGCATTATTCACAGTGGTCAGGGCATGGAAGCAACTGAAGTGTCCTACGATAAATGACTGGCTAAAGAAGCTGTGGTACATATATACAATGGAATATTACTCAGTCATAAGAAGAGATGAAATACTACCATTTGCGACAACATGGATGGACTTTGAGATAATCATGCTTAGCGAAATAAGCCAGACAGAAAAAGTTAAAAATCACATAATATCACTTATATGTGGGATATAACCCTACAAGCAACAAATGAGCAGAACAAACAGAGTCTCATGGACATGGAATGTAGACTAGTGGTTACCAAAGGACTATAGACTAGTGGTTACTAATAGAGTAGGAGTGGAGGGAGGACGTAGACGGGGTAACGTGGGTCAAATATAGGATTTAGGGGGAAGGTGAAGTGGGTAAAGGGGATCAAATATATGGTAGCGGAAGGAAACTGGACTTTGGGTGGTAAACACACAATAGAATATACATATGTCAAATGATAATGTACACCTGAAAATTATATAATTGTGTTAACCAATCTTACTCCAATAAACTTAACTAAAAATTAAAAAAAAAAATAGAAAACTGCATCACACTTCCATCAGTCCCCATATGCCTTTTTCCAGACCAAGCATGATCAATTCTCAATCTTTAATGCTGTGTGACCCTGAATGAAGAAAAAATGTTGTTATAACAGTTAAGATCAGGGCCTTTGGGTTAGATCTGAGTTGTAATCCTGGCCAGCTACTTATTAGCTATGTGATGCTAGGGAAATGACTTAATGTCTCTGTTCTTCATTTTCCTCTTATGAAAAATGAAGATAATAATCATACCTATCTCAAAGGGCTGTGGTAAAGATTAAAGGAGAAAAAAATGTGGAAAAAAGCCCATTTTTCTACCTAGCTTAGAAAGTGGTAGTAGAATATTAGTAATTATTATCAATATATTAACTATAGTGGTCATTACCTCTGATAGCTTATGGTAAACAGGGGCCTTCAGTGTGGGGAGAGAGGGGGATGTTATAATTCCTTCAGGTGAAAAGGACAGGATAGTGCCAGTATGGGAACCAGCCATTGATCATATTGGGGTATGTATTTAAACAAAAAAGGAAAAGATGGCTTCTTTTTAACCTTTTTGTTACTAAGAACACTGTCAAAAAGAATAGCAAGACTAATTTATATGCCTCTCTGATTGATGTATTTTCTAAAAGTGGTACTGCTAATAATATCCTCAAAAGATTTTCTGGTGTTAACCTCCTCCTCTATTGTATATATCCCTAACCCATGAGACCTGCTGCCAGAACCCATGTGCTTTTTTTTTTTCTCCAAAAGCATGGATGGCATTTGCATCATGCTCTTTCTCTCATGATAACCCCATCTGTGGTGGATTAAAGCCGGAATAACTTAGTATCATATCTTGATATACATGACAAGGATGGGAGGCAACAGGGTAGGCAGGAGAAGCACTTACTCTTCATGACCAGCTTTCCAATAAAACAGAAGGAGGTTATGGCCATGGCTTTGACTTCTGTGACAGCCATTCAGAGGACACCTACTGACTGTATTAGCCTCCTCTAGGAATAATCCACATGCAAGTGATTTGGTTGGCAGTTTGATTCCGGGACCGTATTAATAATACTGCCTTTCCTGGAATCTTTCTTACATATGACATATTTTGCCCCACTTAATTCAATAGTTCTGCATATTTTAATACATCAATAGTAATCCAAATAGCAAACACATGGGAGTTATTGACTTTCCTTCCTTTTATCCATTTCTGCAGTATCTTAAATTCTCTTCCTAGTGAATCTACAGGCCACTAGTGACATCACTTTTTATCCATTCATGTTTTTTAATTGGCATTAACATGGAGGGGACATAAACTGTTAAAAGGTAAAAGATGACAAGGTTGGTGATGATCTCCAGAGCAAACATTACAGGAATTGGTAGAGCAAATTTGATTTGAAAATGATTACTATGAGTGAATATCCTGTAAATAACGAATTGGAAAGAAAATTAGGTTGGAAGTATTTGCTTATGCACTTATTTCTACGTGGAAGGAAAGCTGTAATTCCCATCAGCCTGTGCTTACAGAATGCCTACATTGACCAGAAACCAACCAGAATGAAAATAAATACACAAGTCCAGCCATTCACTGCATTTTTCAACACCAAGGAAAGCCATAAAGATAATATAAGTCTTTGGGTAACAACCCATAAATCCATGGTTATAGTTCAAGCTCTTAACTTCAAATTCCGAAATGACCATGCCACTGCAGCTGGTAAAAATCAACTGTTGTTTCTCTGCCATCCCCACTTCTCAGCATTCTTCCCTGATGACTGGGCCCTGCCACCGGCCACGTGGAGCCCACGGCTCTCCTAGGCAGGGTTATTCAGGGAACTCACTGCACCTTCTTTCCTTGCCCAGAAGCTAGAAGTTCACTGTCAGAATAGGTGCGGGGGGAGGCAAAGAAGCTGAAATAATCAATAACTCTTAGAAAATTCTAGGAAAACATGCTCTCTTCACAACTTCTTGAGAAACAAACTGGTGTGACACTGAAAGAAATCATCAGGGCAAACTGGCTGAGGTTTTATCAAAGTGTACCAAGAATTCAAGAGCAGTGTTCCTTAAAAATGTAAAGCTAATTTCTGTATATCAAATCCTATTTTCCACTCACACTGTCTTTCCCTCATTTTTTAAATTAAATATTGAATAGATACAAAGGGGCATTTATAAGAAACCAGTATACGGTATATAAAACAATAATACAGGAGTGACTTCAAAACATGGCAGAGTGAGAGACATCACCAGATCTCTCTCCTTGAAATGACAATAAGCTGAACATTTAAAACTCAACAAAAAATGTCCAAACTGCACACCAGCACCTCTGAGTGTGGGATCTGCGAATAAGAGCTAACACAGATAAGAACCCTGGGTGTTGGGCAGTAGACTAGAAGAGAGAAAGAAGCTGCCTCTCGCAACCCATGCTTCCTGTAGGAGATGGGACGAGGAAAGAAGATGCAGCGAGTTCCCTGAATAGCACTACCTAGGAGAGCTGTGTGCTCCACGTGGCCGGTGGCAGGGCCCAGTCATCAGGGAAGAATGCTGAGAAATGGGGATGGCAGAGAAACGACAGTTGATTTTTACCAGCTGTGGTTGCAAAACCGAGGATGAGCCACCACACAAAGAGGCCCTTCCCCCATGTCCTCCAAGAATGAACACCGCAGAGCACAGGGGAATCTGAACAAACGTTACTAAAACTGTCACTAACACTGACAGTGACTGAGACTGAGGATAGTGAGCATGATTAAACATTTATAAGAAAAAAGGCATTATTAAGGCTTTATATAAAGCAGGAATCTAAGAGGCTTAGACGCCACCTACTGGAAACGAAAAGAAAAATGCCTTCTTTACAACAGGCTAGAGATACCTTTATATAATAAATCTTTCTGGAAAAACAGCAGAATACACTTCCATTAATGCCCAGGCAGAGAAACAGTCCACTAAACACCATGAACAACCAAGGTAACAAGGCATTTCAGAAAGAAAGAGAAAAATCTCCAGAAAGTAAGCTTACAGACATAGAAATATGCGACTTAAATGACAGACAATTCAGGATGGTACTTCTGAAAAAACTCGAAGAGATTTGAAACGAATCATATCAACAATTTCAGGAATTGACAAAATAACTACATGAGCAGAGTGAGTTCTTTAGCAAGGAGATCGAAACCTTTAAAAAAAGAATAGATCTTCTAGAGATAAACACACACACACACACACACACACACACACACACACACACACACACTGCAAGAGTTGAAAAATAAAATAGCAAGCTTGGGAAATACAGTCGACCAAATAGAGGAAAGGATCAGTGATATCAAAGACAGAAATCTAGAAATAAATCAGAAGGAAGAAGAGAGAAACCAAAGAATGAAAAATAATGAAAGAGAAATATAAGAAATAGCTAATCTCATGAGGAGATGAAGTATAAAAATAATGGCTATTCTCGAAGGGGAAAAAAAGGAGCAAGAATTAGAAAGCATTTTCAGACAAATAGTTGATGAGAATTTCCCAAACTAAGGAATGAGCTGGAGCTTGGAATTCAAGAAGTCAACAGAACACCCAATTATTTCAATCCAAAATGGCCTTCACCAAGACACAATGTATTAAAATTATCAAAAATCAATGACAAAGAATTCTCAAGGCAGCCAGGGAAAAGAAGTAAAACGCATTAGATGATCATCAGACTTCTCAGCACAAACCTTACAAGGCAGAAAGAGGTGGAATCAAATATGCAAACTATTAAATGAAAGGAAGTACCAGGCAAGAATATTGTATCCAGCTAAGTTCTCCTTTAGACATGGAGAAATAAAGACCTTTCCAGACATACAAAAACTGAGGGAAATCTCCACTAAACGTCCTCCACTACAGGAAATACTGAAAGGGGTCAGCTCACCTAAAACAAAATGACAAAAAAAAAATACGTAACTAGGAGTAAGGTGACTAGCAGGCTGATAGAAGCAGAGGAGTGCAACTCTAGTAAGAACAGGGCATTATAAACATAAATAAGAAGAGATATGTTATAACAAGATAGTAAGGAATGCTCAGTATACATAAGGACAAATTGAGACAACAGTGACTTGAGACAAAAGGGAGGGATTCAAAGATCCAAATTTGCAAAGGGGAATGGAGATGAGGCATGCACAGAGGAAAATGGACGATTGGATGTATATATATAACTATCCTTTATTTATTCGTAATGGTAACCAAACACCAAAAATTTAGAACTTAAGTATATAACATAAAACAACAAAGAACAGACAGAAATCCCACAAAAGCCAACCAAAATAAAGAAAACAGAAACACAAAACAAGGAACAGAAACACTGAGCTACCAGAAAGCCAAAGATAAAATGGCTATAAGAAGACTTCATATTTCAAAAATCACCCTAAATGTAAATGGACTGAACTCACCAATAAAAAGGGACAGAGTTGCAGATTGGATCAAACAACAAAACCCAATCATATGCTGCCTCCAGGAGACACATCTCAGTTCCAATGGGAAATATGGACACAAAGTGAAAGGGTGGAAAGTGATATTTCAAGCAAATGGCATTCGGAGAAAAGCAAAAGTAGTGGTACTAACATCAGACAAAATAGACCTCAAAATAAAAAGATACTGTGGGACATTTCATAATGACAAATGGAATCATACACCAAGAAGACATAACACTTATTAATATTTATGCTCCCAATCAGAGAGCCGCAAAATACATAAAGCAATTACTAACAGAACTAAAGGGAGAAGCAGACCAAAACACTATCATAGTAGAGGACCTAAAACCTCACTGTCGGATATGGACAGATCATCCAAACAGAAAATTAATAAGGAAATAACATCTTTAAATGACAAATTAGGCCAATTGGACATAATTTACATTAAGAAAGACTTTCTTCCCAAAACAGCTGCTTATACATTCTTCTCTAGTATACATGGAACATTCTCAAGGATTGACCACATACTGGAACACGGAGATAGCCTCAACAAATATAAGAGGGTTGAAATCATATCAACCATATTCTCTGATCATAATGCTTTGAAACTAGAGATCAACTGTAAAAAGAAAGGGGGAAGAACCACAAATACATGGAGATTAAACAAAATGCTACTGAAGAAAGATTGGGTCAGAGGAGAAATAAAAAGAAAAATTAAGAGATTCATAGAAACGAATGATAATGGTAGTACAACATAACAAAACTTTTGGGACATGGCAAAGGGGTAATAAGAGGAAATTTCATATCATTACAGATCAACCTCGAAAAACAAGAAAGAGCCCAAATAAAAAAATGTAATGCTTCATCATAAAAAAATAAAAACTAGTAAAGGAAGAACAAATGAAGCCTAAAGTCAGCAGAAGGAAAAAAATAATAATCAAAATTAGAGCAGAAAAAAATTAAATTGAAAACAAACAAAACAAAAATAATAGAGAAACTAAATGCAACAGAGAGCTGGTTCTTTCAGAAGTTTAATTACAGACCAATATCTCTCATGAACACAGAGGCAAAAATCTTAAATAAGATACTAATGAAGCAAGTAGAGCAACATATTAAAAAATATTATACGATCAAGTGGGCTTCATCTTAGGGGCACAAGAATGGTTCAACGTATGCAAATCGATTAATGTGATATACCACATAAACAAATTAAAAAAGAAGAATCATATGATCATATCAATAAATGCAGAAAAAGCTCTCAAGAAGATATGATTTCCACTTATGATCAAAACATTTAACAAAATCAGTATAGAAGGAAAGTACCTTAACATAATAAACACCATATATGACAAACCCTTAGCTAACATTACGTTTAATAGTGAAAAACTAAAAGCCGTCCCTCTAGGATCAAGAAGACAATTCTGTCCACTATCGCCACTGTTATTCAATATAACATTGGAGGTCATAGCGAGTGCATTCACGCAAGAGAACAATATAAAAGACATCCAAATAAGAAATGAAGAAGTCAAACTGTCACTATTTGC